AAAAATATTTGGCACCTACGTGAGGCCTCATCTAGAATACGCCATACAGGCGTGGAGACCTTGGACTGTCAAGGACTCTATCGTTTTGGAGAAGGTCCAGAGACGGGCGACCAAAATGACACAAGGTCTGGGAGCGCTGTCTTACGAATCTCGACTGTCAACTCTCAACCTGTTTCCACTTTCCTACAGGCAATTATGTGGTGACCTTATACTTGCATTTTGCATTATCAACGGCCTAGACTGGTGTTTAGATCCCACTGATTATTTCACACAAGCTAACACGCCCAATTTGCGCGGTCATCCCCTAAAACTACGCGCCGGAAAGGCAAGAATCAATGGACGGAAGTTCTTTTTCAGTCATAGAGTGGTTGCAGCGTGGAATGTCCTGCCCACCGATGTTGCAACCTCCTCCTGTGTGAATTCCTTTAAGTTTAGACTTGACGCGCATCAAGCCTCCGAGTTACCAGCCTCACATCCACTCATAACCGGCACCAACTTAAACTTGTTTGTACTACTTGTAACTTGTTAGTAACCGTTATTGGTTACTCTTTTTGAATAGCTGTCAGCGATTATGTACAAAACCATTTTTTTCTCCTTCCCACTAGCAATGTTTTTCTCCGACGACTTGTAACCAATAGGGAGTTCAAAGGCGCTCGCCTTTACTTCCCTTAATAAACTGAAACTGAAACTGAAGCTCATTGCACTGCTTAACGATTTAAGAAGTTATACGTATGCTACATTAAATTTTAAAAGAGCCGATGGCTTTTTGTTTCATGAAAAAATACGTTTTCACATATCTGAATTGACCCTATTGTCTTGAACTCAAAATCACAAATTCCGTTGCAAAAGTGTCCCTTTATAACGCAACACACCTAAATTGAATAATTCAATAGATATTACTTTTAGCATAGGCAGGTTTGTAGATATGTAGAAACCTCAAATTTTGCCGATACAAGAAAAGATGCGAGTTCCAGCGATCGCTTAATCTTCTGACATCCAATTTTTCCTAATATCTCTTCTGTTTTCTCTCAAAACTATACAAATGATGCATTATTCTTGTGGAGATGGTTCTATGGGATCCCAAGCAATGCTAAAACGAACTAATTACACCAACAAGAAGTCGGACCGCCAGCCTCAACACTGACCTTGACAGTTTATGAGGTAGGCTATCTACCGTACGTGCAGGCATGCTGCCGTACATGCAAGTAGTGTTTATAGACAAGCATTGACTAAGATTTCGTCAGAGACCTGGCGCATATCTGTTTGCCAATGTCAGTCCTGAGGTTGTCACGGTTTTGTGCTACTAATCGCAAAATGACACATATGAGTCAGTTTGAGGCACATTTTAATAGTTGAACCTCGTTTGCAAGATTAGAAAATTGGGAAAAAATTAGTCAGGACAAACATACGAGTTGCCAGACGCCTTAAAGCCTTTAGCAGTACCTACGTCGAATCAACACAGTCACTTACAGCTTGTGACGAGCCAGAATAATCAGATTCACAGGAGAGTAATTTGCGAGAGCCTTGATCTTATATGAGTATGAGTGGGCCTATGTCAATTAAGTCCTTCTACACGTCACTAAATATTAAGGTAAAAATTGCTTAACGCACGAACATAAGCCACTGTTGCTCAGCATCTATAGGTCCTTCTTATTTTGACCAATATTTTGGGCTTCCTCTTCCTAAGTACTTAGAAGCTACCCAGCAGACAATGCTTCCTAGAAAAAAATGAATGGCATAACTTGGTTTTCTTTAAATGGTTGCCCGTTATCATAAACTGCTGTTCTTCAGTCACACAAGTAAACTAGGGGCAAACGAACATAGGCGTAGATATCACCGATACCAGTGTTTCTAGGGGGTCAAAATACCTATGGAAGACCTAGGTATTATAGAAGGGCATAGACCTATCCTCTCATAGATTTTAGAATTTCGAGCGCAAAGGCTGGGTTGATGGAATCATTGCATTTTGTTACAAAAAGGACCGCCCCATTATACATGCGCTAGGCGGCAGACGCAGGCTTTTTTATTTGACAGTCAGTATGACGTTTACACAAATTTGGCCGCAAAGAATAAGTCATCGTAAAAAATGTTTAATTCTGCTGAATGATTTAGGCAGAAACAAACAAAGCCAATATCTGGGAAGAAATATCATTCTTAAAAAAGCAATCCTAAATGACTGCGACCAACGTCGACTGCATTGACTGCAGCTTATATGCATTAGCTACGCCTTGTTCGGATTTGAAATTGTGGTTTTCTTTTTCGAGCTCAATCCCAAAGGATAGCATAAAGGATAACATCAGACAACTAACGGACCTGAGACTGCTATTTTGAACGTCATTGGGACAGGGTATACACATCCGTCGACCCTTTAGCTTTTGCACATTTGGCCGTAAACAAAAGTAGCACGACCGTTGGTGTCTTCAATCGCAAAACCGTTACTGCTGATGCCACCGGTCATCAAGTGTACGACAACACACTACCCAGAAGCCAGGAACATGCGGTAGGTGGATCAGAAGTAGCATCTACAGTGGCTTGGTGCACAGTCACCGAGCTCCCGACTAGTTAACCTACCTTGATCTGCGTTCCATTCGTGAATTTAGAATGACATTTGCATTGCTTACCCCCACCCAGCTTACTAAGCAAGAGTCTTGAAGGGGTCTGTCGCGACCAATCGCCGACCGTCAGGTGCGTCATGTGGATTGGCAGCAATTTGCCGTCCATTATCCACGCCATGCTAAATGTAGGCATGATTACCTGCCACTAACAGCCTGTCATCATGAGCAATGCTTCCCTTCTTGATGTGGGTTACTGCTTAATGCTTACAAATGGAGATGGAAACCTGTTTGCACAGCAAGCATTTCAATATTTCAACCGTGATTCATAGAACCACTTTTAAGAGGCACATGCATTTGTGGCATTTGTATGATGACTATGCTGTTTGTCTGCGAAAATCCTCCGACCATTTGTGTCGTCATTTACATCCATGCTACATCTGCCTGGAAACATCAGCAACCCGCCAACTTTTATTTAGACTTTGTGTGAAATGCCCACTTTTCCTGTAGGGATAATTGTTAGTTTGTAGCAGTAATTTTGTTTAAAATTCGCATGACCTCTCAGATAAAGTTTGGGAAGAATCCCTATGAACTATGATCCCGCCATAGACCTGACCTATATTTGTTTGCCAGGCATTCAAAAAAGCAGTGTCAGGTTTACCGACGTCAGCCCTAGGTTTCTGCGGTTTGGCGCCACAAATCGCTAGATGACAAGCGACACAAGTGGGTCACTTGGAGATGCATTTGAAAAAGATGAAACCATGTCTGCAATAGTTCACACATGCACGAAGTAGATCAGGGAAACGTACGTATTGTGAGAAGCGTCGTCTCAATCAGTCACTAAGGATGGGGGACGACTTACCAGGCTATTTTATCCACTAAAGTGTAAAATTTTAGAACCGTACTCTGGCAGGTAAGTAAGTTCTCGAAACTTCGATTAACGTATTCCATTCGATGGAAATAAAAAATCGGCAGGCACAAAACTTAATCTACCGATAGAAGCAAACAGGCGATTTCCAGGTAGCAGTTCAGAAGATGAAGATGCGATCACTGGAACAAGAAATTTATTTGCCTGACGTTTCGGATTCTCACTCGAATTCATCATCAGAGACATTCGCAGATAAAGATGATGGTGGCACTAGGAGTGCAGTATTTATAGCACGTGGCTGCCGTGGGACCGTATGCGCACTGCAATTAACAGTTCTCGCAATCACCGCTGGGGTCGTAATTGATGTGGTGGTGGCTTGTCGGTTCGACTCCGAGTCGTTAATGGCCGCGATTTCAACATCCGTGCTGGATGATGGTGTGACGATTACTCGGACCGCCTGTTCGCTTTTATCAGCAATCTTTTTGGGCTCGAAACGCTCCGATCGGCTCGACGGTGGGAAACCTTTGCCCTTCGAGAGTCGTCAACATATGCGCAGATTCGATTTCTGCACAGGTGTCTCGACAACAATGTGCTGCCGAAGTGCGTTTCATACAAACCTCCGGTCAACACAGAGCTGGCGAGACGCGCAGTACTTCAGCACGGCCGACGAATGATCCGAGTGCTCCTTCAAGACTGTCACTCACGGATTCGCAAATACCGTCAGAGGATTGACCAAGAGAAAGCAAGGTGCTGCGAGTTCATGGGCGAGGACGGCATAAAACTGCTTCAGCAGAGGCTGGCCGAACGAACCCGCGAACATAAAGCAACGCACGAAGCAGCCCTAGAGAGCAAATTTCCTAAACTGCCTGCTCCAATGTCATCCAAGAACGACAAACTGGTGCACAACCTGTCGTCGAAAGAGCTGAAGGAAGAACAAATGCAGGTTTTACGGCATGAGGCCTCATTCAACACAACCGATGCCAAACCTGCCAACATGATCGCAGCAGTGGAATCAATCCTCAGCCAGACGGGAGCGACAGACGAAACAAAAAACCTCACTCGACACCAAGTGTCCTCCCTCCTCATGGCTCATAGGCCGCGCGACGTGCTTTTCAAGGTCGAGCACGATGCACTGAAGGAACACAGGGCCAACAACGACCTCATTATCGTGCCTGCGGACAAGGGGCGTTCAACGGTCGTACTGGACAGGACAGACTACAATC